TTTGGAATTTCAGGCAGTAGCTGCATGGCACTAGGCTTAGATCGATTTATTGGCAAACTGATATTCGTTAGCTAGTATTGGCCACTTTTAAACAACTGGCAATCAGCCATACCTGTCCAAATTAATCAATTACCAGTAGGAAAATAAAGCTGCAGCAGCAGCTGCTACAAACAGGTTACTGAAGCCCACAGTTACCTTAATGAAGAAAGGAAGCTCTTCTATATATTATTTTTTTTCAGTGTACAAATTCTAAAGGTTTTATAAGGGTTATGTTTATCATTTTTATTAGATGCATTTATTTAATCGGGCAAATCCCATTGAGATCACATCTCTTATGCAAGTGAGGCCTGGGCCTAAAGGCAGCCTAACATGCATGTTTTTAGACTGGAGAGTAGCCGGAGTACAGTAGTCCTTCGCTACTTCGCAGTTCGTTTTTTGTGGACTCGTTCTATCGCGGTTTTTCAAAATAAGAGTGGACATCACACACAATTGGTTGATTGATGGAAGAGTTGCACGATCAGCGTGGAATTTTATTTAAAATATAGATTTTTTTAAAATTATTTAGCACCTGCTGCACCTTTGTGCAGCCCACAGCTGCAGGGGAAACATCCTCCTGCTGCTGACTGGATCTCTGCTCTGCAGTGGAGAAGTGGGCGTGGCCGAGAGCGCTGGCAGGTGTCTGAGAGCAGCTGGAGGTAGGGAGCTGAGATCATGACATCCTGTGCTCTTTGAGAGCGCTTTGAGTTTAGAAACATTGTTTAGAACAGTGTTTTTCAAAGTGAGGGCTGCGGCCCACTGGGGGCTTCCAGGGGATGCTAGGGGGGCTCAGAAAGCTGGAAAGAAGAAGATTTAAAAAAAAAGCAAAACTATATATTTTTAATAAAATTTTAAAAATTAAATTACTGTAATACAATCAAATCTATTTTTCAATAATTATTTTAAAATATATTTTAAAATAATATATAGAAATATTTTTCACCATGCTCATCTTTCTGATTGGCTGCCAGTCAAATGTATCAAGCTGCTTTACTCTTCAAGCACAGCAAGGACGAGGAAATGGAGAAGTTTCTAAAAAGACTGAAGGAACTGCAGCCCTACCGTGGTGGAAACTGCTGCAAAAACAACAACAAAGAACTCGTGGACAGCTAAAATTTGAAGGTATGAGGAAGAGGAAGCATACATTAAATATGTCTTTACAGTTATACAGAAAAATGGCCATGATTGCCCAAAATGTGTCCTCTGTCTGGAGATCCTCACAAACAAGTTTTTAAAACCTTCAAAACTTCAGCGCCACCTGAATGGGACTATAATACAGTGTTTAAAACATGTTAGCTACTAACATTTTTATGCTCAGCAGATGTAATAATTAATTGAATATAGTGAATAAAAGTTAAAACATTCTAAAAAGTTGATGTTTCTTTACATATTTTGTAACATTGTTTATGGGTTTGCCATGGGGGTGTCAGCCAGAAGCTAATGTTTGGGGGGCCATGGCATGGAAAAGTTTGGAAACCCCTGGTTGCAAGAGTGTGGGAAGGGTTTAAAACTCCTATATTATATATATATATACAGATATACTAAAATAAACTACTTCTTACTACTTGTACTACTGTTCCTACTTCCCAGTTCTTTACTTATCGCGGGGCTTCAGGGTACAGATCCCCTGCGATATACAAGGAACTACTGTGCCCGGAGAAATCACTTCCAAACACGAGGAGAACAAAGACACCAGGTCTAAACTGGGGATTGAACCCAGACCCTTTTTGTTGTGAGGAAGCAGAGCTAAACACTAAGCTGCCGTGCTAACCACGTTTTTTTTTTTTTCAAACCAAGCAATAATTGTCAGAGAGATTTATTTATCATTCACATCTCGTGGTACATGTGGTGGAACGAAACTATGTCCGCAGGGCCCCAGTTACATCCAACAATAAAACTTAAAATAAATTGTTTCCTTTTTATTAATAGTAAACATTTGTAGTAGGTAAATAAAAAAAAAACAGTGCTGTATACTGACCATCAGCTGCCTTGATTTCTAAAAATTGGCATTGGCCATATCGGTCGACCTGTATTTGGCGCCCTTTAAAATTTCAGGAATCTTGTCGTTCATTGTGTTCTTTTTAAACTGTGACTGTTTGTAACGCTGGTGATGTACAGTCTAAGACAATGATGGTTTTAAGATACGCTAATAAAAGAAAGTTACTGTTTCAGTTCAGAATCTTTGTACCGGTCGTTTGCGTATATTTTGTGTAAGTCTAGTTATGATCCCCAAACTTGATCCTCAAGGGCCACGATCCTGCATGATTTACATGTTTCTCTGCTGCAACACACCTGATTTGGATCGATGGGTGATTACCAGGCTTCTTCTAAACACAAAGAGGTAATTCATTCCTTGAATCAGGTTCACTGGAGCAGGGAAACAAGTAAAACATGTGGGACTGTGGCACTTGAGGAACAGGATCGGAGGCCCCTGGTCTACTACAAACCGGATTCCAAAAAAGTTGGGACACTAAACAAATTGTGAATAAAAACTGAATGCAATGATGTGGAGATGGCAAATGTCAATATTTTATTTGTAATATAACATAGATGACGGATCAAAAGTTTAATCTGAGTAAATGTAACATTTTGAAAGAAAATTATGTTGATTCAAAATTTCACAGTGTCAACAAATCCCAAAAAATTTGGGACAAGTAGCAATAAGTGGCTGGAAAAAGGAAATTGAGCATATAACCAACAGCTGGAAGACCAATTAACACTAATTAGGTCAATTGACAACATGATTGGGTATAAAAAGAGCTTCTCAGAGTGTCAGTGTCTCTCAGAAGCCAAGATGGTAAGAGGATCACCAATTCCACCATTGTTGCACAGAAAGATAGTGCAGCAATACCAGAATGGTGTTACCCAGCGTAAAATAGCAAAGACTTTTAAGTTATCATCATCAACCGTGCATAACATCATCAAAAGAGTCAGAGAATCTGGAACAATCGCTGTGCGTAAGGGTCAAGGCCGTAAAACTCTACTGGATGCTCGTGATCTCCGGGCCCTTAAACGTCACTGCACCTCAAACAGGAATGCCACTGTCAAGGAAATAACAGAATGGGCTCAGGAATACTTCCAGAAAGCATTGTCAGTGAACACAATCCACCGTGCCATCCGCCGTTGCCAGCTGAAACTCTACAGTGCAAAGGGGAAGCCATTTCTAAGCAAGCTCCACAAGCTCAGACGTTTGCACTGGGCCAGGGGTCATTTAAAATGGAGTGTGGCAAAATGGAAGACTGTTCTGTGGTCAGATGAGTCACGATTTGAAGTTCTTTATGGAACACTGGGACGCCATGTCATCCGGACCAGAGAGAACAAGGATAGCCTAAATTGTTATCAACACTCGGTTCAGATGCCTGCATCACTGATGGTATGGGGTTGCATGAGCGCTTGTGGCATGGGCAGCTTGCATGTCTGGAAAGGCACCATTAATGCAGAGAACAATGTTCAGGTTCTAGAACAACATATGCTCCCATCTAGACGTCATCTCTTTCAGGGAAGACCCTGCATTTTTCAACACGATAATGCCAGACCACATTCTGCAGCAATCACAACATCATGGCTACGTAGGAGAAGGATCCGGGTACTGAAATGGCCAGCCTGCAGTCCAGATCTTTCATCTATAGAGAACATTTGGCGCATCATAAAGAGGAAGGTGCGACAAAGAAGGCCCAAGACGATTGAACAGTTAGAGGCCTGTATTAGACATGAATGGGAGAGCATTCCTATTTCTAAACTTGAGAAACTGGTCTCCTCTGTCCCCAGACGTCTGTTGAGTGTTGTAAGAAGAAGGGGGGATGCCACACAGTGGTAAAAATGGACTTGTCCCAACTTTTTTGGGATTTGTTGACGCCATGAAATTTGGAAACAACAGATTTTTCCCTTAAAATGATACATTCTCTCAGTTTAAACTTTTGATCTGTGATTTGTGTTCTATTCTGAATAAAATATTAGATGTTGGCACCTCCACATCATTGCATTCAGTTTTTATTCACAATTTGTTTAGTGTCCCAACTTATTTGGAATCCGGTTTGTACTACAGTGGTCCAATCCTGGTCCTCAACGGCAACTATCCTGCATGTTTTAGATGTTTCTCTTTTGATGCTCCTGATTTGAATGAACAAGTGATTCTCAGGCTTCTGCAAACTTGAAGACCTGCTGAGGAACAGGGAAACATCTATGTCATGCAGCATAGCAGCCTTTGAGAACCAGGATTGCTCATTACTGGTCTAGCATATTCAATAAGTGTTGTCACCAACTAATACAGTTCTTATTGAACGCCAGGACTCCGCTAGAGTTAATTTAGATATAAATGGGAGAGGGGAACATGTGTTCCTATTGCATTAATAACAGGGCGTGGAGAGCTGAAGGTTTAGCTGATAATCCCACTAATCCTACAGGCTAAAGTCTTAAATTGACTGTACCCCGTCTCAAAGTGCCCAACACTTGCGTGCCCGTACTCACACACACAGAATACCAGGCAAGCTGATGCTCCAATTAGTCCTCATCAGGCTTTCTTACATGGATGCAGCATGATTCTGGGCCAGGAGCGGCCCCTTAGAGAGCCACCTAGCCAAGAGAGGAGGAGGAGTTGGGAAAAAAGACACCGTGGCGTATTTATAGAAAAATGAGGCCTCACAATAGCCTTTTTTGGAGACAGATTTATTAAGGAGCCGAGGTGCATGGGTGCACGCGTCCCAGTTTTCTGATTAACAGTGTGCAAGCTGGCTCGCCTCAGGATGAATCAGGGATGAGACGCAGAACTAACTCTTTGACACACTCTGCACTCGCTTTTCAATGCAGACTCACTGTTTTTTCACGAGGACGCTGCTGTGGTTTTAGGGTGGAGGAATGGGGCAATATTTTCAGGCTCTTAAGTTCTCAGTTTGACTTTAGGCTTGTTGGATTTTTTTTTTTGTGTGTGGACAAAGTGGTTCACAGCCTGCTATTTGACAAACAAGATGAAGAAGTTTTTGCAAAACAAAAAAGGCAGATACTCCTTTCGGCAGCACAAACGAGGCCCATCTAAAGATTTCTGTAAGTTTTTTTATCGTCTGTGTGAATCTTGCTGCTTTGGACCACATCATCTGGGTTTGGTTATATTAATAATGATTTGTAAGTCTGTTGTGAGTTTGCTGCATTTGCATAAATATATGCTCTAAGATCTCGTTTGGCCTTATTCACCTGTTAGGACTCAGTGCAGCCTCATGGTGTTCTCGTTTCCCTGGCAGCTCTTTGGGTTATCTCTTAACCCCATTGAGATGTTTGGAAACAACATCTACAAGGGAAATCTTTAGACAACTTACTTGCAAAGCTCACTTTTTTTGTCTTTTCTTCCATCAAGTTCTCAATATGCCAACTTCCAACCAGAGCTGGCCGGAGGATTTTGGCTTCCAGCTGGGTGGGACTGGGCCCAGCTACATCTTGTCGGTGGAGGAAGGCAGCAGCGCCCATTTGGCGGGGCTGCAGGCAGGGGATCAGGTCCTGGAGATTGAGGGCCACAATGTGTCATCGCTGGCGCCACAAGCCGTCGTTGCCATCGCTCAGACTCAGAAGAACATCCCTCCCAGCATTGGAGTGGTGTCCCGCATACAGCAGGTCTAGCTCATTAATTATTGGAGCAAAAAACAACCAGTTTTACAGATGTCGAGCTAAAACTTTTTGTAGTAGCTGAGCATTTTGAATAACATAGAGCACTACTCATTGTGCAATATTCTTGCTTAAAACATTGCCATTGTTTGTTAGAGTGAACACTTTCTTGTCTGTTAGCAAAATATCTCTTGAACACTGGACAGAGTTAAATAAAATGTTCAAAAAGTAATCATTAGATGTACAGTAGTCCCTCATTTATCGCGGGGGATCTGTACCCTGAAGCCCTGCGATAAGTGAAAAACCACCAAGTAGGAATAGTAGTACAAGTAGTAAGTAGTAGTTTATTTTAGTATTTATTTAAGGCGTTTTAAACCCTTCTCATACTCTTGCAATATTCTAAACCAGGACTATTCAACAAAACTGCTCAGGGGGCCACAGTTTCTGAGAGCCAGCAGCTCGGGGGCCGGACATCCAGCGATTAGTCATTATGTACAGTAAATAAACTAAGTTTCACAATGATCTGTTACCTTTTTAATTTGTTTATTTTATTGCATTGAATCATAAATGCAATAAACAGAACCCAAAACCCAAACTCAGAACCCTGCCCCCCACCCAAAAAAAAATGTAAAAATATATATATATATATATATATATATAATTATTTTTTTAATGAAGTGGGCCAGATTGAAGTCACCCACAGGCCAGAAATGGCCCGCGGGCCACCAGTTGAATAGCCTTGTTCTAAACTATGTTTCTAAAGGCTCTAAAATAGCACAGCATGTCATGATCTCAGCTCTCTGCCTCTGGCTGCTCTCTGCCACCTGCCAGCACTCTTGGCCACGCCCACTTCTCCGCTGCTAAGCGGAGATCATGACACACTGCAGAAGGGAGCTTCTCCTGCAGCTGTGGGCTGCACACAGGTGCTAAATAATTTTAAATTATTTATTTTAAATTAAAAATTCCATGTCGATCGTGCAGCTCATCCATCAATCAGACAATTTGTGTCATATCCAATCTTACTTGAAAAACCGCAATAGAGTGAGTCTGCGAAAAACGAACAATGAAGTAGCGAGTGACTTCTGTACATCTAAAACTTATTCACTTTTGGAATCACCCCAGTCCAAGATGGCTGCCACAGCTAATTGACCTTGGTCAAACTAAAAATGGTTATAATTTAGTCAATTTTACAGATTTTGAAGTAACATTTGGCATGACGATAGCTGAGAGTGGTCCTCAACACACACTTCAAGCACCAAAACATCACATGAGGTGGAGCACTATGTCATTTACGAGATTTGACCAAAACATATTTTCAGCATTAAATGATCTTTGTTTAACACTCTGGCATGAAAGGCAGCGGGCGATAGGCATTCCTTTAATCTACCACCTATGTGCTGCATTTGTTAGGGTTTTCAAACACTGAGGGACATTTGTGGATTTGTCTTCCTTCTTCTACAGATGGACATCATACCAGGTCCAGATGGTCGTTTTGGCTTCACTATTGTGGGAGACTGCCCCCTCCTGGTGGAAGACTGCTCCCCGTGCTCCCCAGCAGGACGTGCAGGTCTGAGGGCCGGGGACTACGTCATGGAGGTGAACGGCATCCCCGTCCGGCAGCATGAGATGGCCGCGTCACTGATCAAGAGCTCCCAGGGGAGGACACTCCGTCTGGGGGTGCTGGGTCTTGGTCAAAGGCAGAAGCGAAGCGTCAGCGTGGAGTACAGTCAGATGGGGGGCGAGGGGGCGGGGCTTGATCGTAAGCACAAGGCTCTGGAGTTCAACAGGAAGGTACTTTTATGGACATATCAATCCACTTGTATTAAAACACTTTTAGACGTGTTTGTGCTAAATAAATAGCTAATAATTAGAAAAAGATTTAGCTCTTTGAATTGGTTGTTATAGTTGGTCACATTTATAGTTTCTCAACTCTCATTTACCATTTTTTTTTAAATCAATTCATGACTTCTGTTTTTGACTGTTTTAACAAAAATGGCAAGCGCTTGCAAGCATTTAAAATTTATGAGGATTTTTAGAGACTCGAGACGTTTCCTGACCCACTGTGGCATTTCTGCATCACCTCGTTTTATACTTTAACATAACTTACATTAAAACATCAGATCTGAGCAGTTCCTACAAGTAAGTCAGAGTCTAACTAAATTAATGTTATTGTAGGTCATTTAGTTTTTCATGGAACACGCCTCTTCTACTATTTAGTTTCTGTTGAATTCAGACCAAAGTTTCTTTCCACCACTCCCTTCCTCAGGGGTCGCCACTGACATGATTCTGCTTTAATGTAGTTGAGCCCATGTGCAAGCAGACAACAGGAGACTTCCAGGTTAAAAAAAAAAAAGTACTGTAATTTAATTTATTAATAAAACAAAACAAAAGCTGACAGGGCAGCAAAAAACTCACTTTTAGGAATTAGACGAGGAGAGGAACAGAACATGAGAGCTTAGACAGGACAATGCATGGATAAAGGAGGAACGCAGACTGGCTTTATAAGGAGGCTGATAAGACAAAATGACGAACACCTGGGGTGATTAGGATTGGAGACAGGTGCGACGGGAGCTGAACAACAAAGAGGGGAATACACAAAGATTATCGAAAAGACAGAAACGGCAGAACAAAAACCCAGAATCCCACAGCTAGTGATCTCGCATGAAGGATTTGACAATTGTTTTACACCGGATGCCCTTCATGCCCCTTAAGATCATGTTTTTAGTTTTGACCCCTTGTTTATCTGAGTGACCAACAACAAATCAGAAGAGACACCAGTCAACTGAGTCTGTGGCAAAAGCATTTCTCTTCAAAATATTGTTAAAATCTCGTCTCGTCTGAGATAAGTGTCTTGATGCACACCTATTATATATAAACCCTTATGTTGAACACTGTTTCAGTGACCTTTAATATTGAGTTACAATTAAAACCCATCCAAATGCTCTTATAAGGCATCAAACTGTAGCATCAGTGACATCTAACAAATGAACATTCCTGTTTTTGTGCAGAATTTAAGACATACTTTGTATTTTAGGCCACAGGCTCTGCTCGGACATGTTTATTGCCCTCAGATCTCTCTCCGAGGCTCTGACATCATTGTCTCCATCAGGTCGACCAGATTTTAGGCGAGGAGCCAGACGTGAAGGAGAAACTCTTCACCGTTTTGAAGCAGTACGCAGCGGAGAAGAGAGTGGAGTGGCTGGCTGCCGTGCTGCCTGAGATACTCACCACTGATGAGCATCGACAGCTCATTTCCAGCATCAGGTATGAGTCAGAGGTGTTCACCCACGGTACAGCCTGACACGGTGGGGGATAACTGTGTGGGCACAGAATCCAGAGGGGATTAAAGAGGACTTCGGCTGAGTGTTATTGTTGAAAATCCAGTTATTTAATGTAGACAGTAGATGTTTTTGTCTAACAGGTGGATCCTCGTCACGTTCTAATTTTTTCCTGCTCTGCTCTTGGCTGTCTTATTTTCCCTGACAGGCTGTCTTCTACACATCAATGTGAGTCAGAACTGTCAACGAGTTTTCATTCAGTCAGCTCGTCAAAGTGAAACCAATCCAAAACCCAAAAACCTGTGCCTGAATGCATCACTTTCAAACCTGACTCTAAAGAAATAATAAAAAAAGGGCTGTAAGCTCAATCATCCAGGTAGATAACAAAAAAGGTTAAATTGTGTCATCTGGACCAGTTTCTTTAATTGAGAAACATTTCGTTTTACATCCAGAGGACTTCTTCAGTCTGCAGCCTGCCAACCAGATCTGTCCCATAGGTAGCCTTCACTGCTGTGTTTCAAGCCAATCTCCTGTAAGAATCTCATAAGCAGGCTTTTAACACATGCAATCAGGGCCCACCCATCCAAAATGATCAATCATCATGTACAACAATCAAATGTTTTAGGCCAGATGATCAACTTGCTATTCACAGAAATAGTTTGAGGACAATCGAGGCAGCCAGTCTCTCTCTTTCTGCTGAAGATACTGGATGATAAAAGGCTCAACTCCGGTGCTCTTCACTGACCCCTCCCTTTCTCTTTTGTCTCTTTTCTCTTTAAAACACATTTTACCCATCCAAAATCGTGTTTTTGGATCGTTAAAAGCAGCTAAGCTAAGAAGCTAAGTTACCAGCTAAGCTAACAGGCCGACCTCGGGGAAAGAACCTCCGTCTTGTCGAAGTGTCAAAATTCACGGTTGAAACCCGTGCCTTCGTGTAAAAAGTAGGTTTTTTTCTGCAAAAAGAAGCTGAGAACTTGTTTACTGAGTTTTTGATTAAAAGCTTTGTGTGAAAAATGCTATGCTAAAGAGCTCAAACCACACCGAGTGTCCGCCATTTTTAGAACTGAAAAAAAGGAAAGAGAGACAGCCCATGTCACGTCAAGGGGCCTCCCTCCCATTTTTCCTTAAAGAGACACGCTGCTCGCTCCCTCACTATCCATCTTTCAGTTCAAACAATCTTATACTGCCATCCGGTGGTCAAAAAAGGTATTACACACAAAACAAATTAACCAATATTTCTTCTTAAATTTGACAATAATTACTAAACAATTATTGTCAAATGTCAAACAATATTATCGTTTATCGCAATAACTTCTGAGACAATTAATCGCCCAGCAAAATTTGTTATTGTGACAGGCCTAATATATTTATGTATTGTCTGTCTAAATCAGGTCTCTTGTAAATGAGTCTTCACGGCTCAACGAGACTAACCTGGATAAATAAAGGTTGAATAAACAAAAAAAGGATAAAATGGTTCAGAAAAAAGAGCAATCATCCAGGTAGATAACAAAAAAGTTTAAATCTTGTCATCTGGATCAGTTTCTTTGTTCTTTTTTCTGAACCATTTTGGCCTTGGTTATCCTCAGACTGTTTCTGTGAGTAGCAAGTTGGCCATCTGGCCTAAATCATTTGATTGTTGTACATGATGATTGCTTGTTTTGGATGGGTGTGCTCTGTTTGCACGTGTTAAAAACTTACTTCAGATATTCCAACAGGAGGTTGGCTGGAAACACAGCAATGAAGCTACTTATGGGACAGATGAGGTTGTCAGGACAAAGACCTCCAGATGGGACACAAAATGTTTCTCACTTAATGGAACTGGTCCAGATGACACAATTTAACCTTTCTTGTTGTTAAGAAGCAAAACAATCGTCCGTGCAGTTTGTCAAATTTCACAGCTTTCACGGTTTCTAAAGGCGAAAAGCGGGTGATAATGTTTTTGCTAGTGTGTGCTTGTGTGTGTGTGTGTTTGCTAAATATCTCATGAACCACTGAACAAGTTTCATTGAAATGTCCAAATTGTAACCATCAGTGGCTGCCACAGCTAATCAACCTGAGTAAACACAACAATGACCATAACTGAGTCAATATGACAGACGTGGAGCTAAAATTTGGTGTGATAGTAGCTGAAAGTCATTCACAACAAGTACTTGAGCATAACGACTAACATTATTTTCAAGGTTCGACCAAAATGTCTACAACTCCGTCATTTCTCACCGTAAGATGATCTTACAGTGAAACACTTTGATGAAAGGTGCTGGACGATGTGCATTCCTTCAAGGAGTTCTTGGCTTCTGTCTCTGAATAGTAACATGCATCCATATTACTGTGTGAATATTTATGAAGCGTTCACACTACTGGGATCCATTTTTCTTCCATACGTTTTTTGGCATCTTTCTTGTTCCACAATTTTTGTGCTCTTTCAACAAATCATAAATCAAAACGTTCAGCTCTTTCAGGACAATCCTGCTGTGACTTTTGGGATTGGTGCAACTTTAGCTTTTTGAAATATTTAGCCATTTCTGCCACTTTTTGTCATAAAAAATGAATTTTAAACTTTTTTCCAGCTACTTTCAGCTAATTTCAGCCGTTTTTCAGCTAATATGTGCTCCTGTCATTTCTGCTAACTACAACATTTTTGCGCTTCTTCTGACTTCTTTCTGCTAATTTCAGCTTGTTATCATCCTTTCAACTGATTTCTGCTCATTTCAGTTTTTCTGCTATTTCAGCTACAGTTTAGCAGTTTTAATGCTGTCAACATTTTCAGCTAATTTCACAGTTTTTGCACATATGTCAACTTTCTTCAGATTTATTCATCAAATAATGCTTCTTTCTGCCTTATTTTTTTAGCTACCTTTCATCTATCTTTTGCTTATTTCAGATAATTTCCCATTTTTGTGTTCATTTCAGCTTCTTTCAGCCTAATTGGGCACAATTGTGCTCTCTTCACTTCCTTCTAGTAACTTAAGCTTTTTTCTGCCTTTTTAGCTACTATTTAGCAGTTTTTTTCCTTCTAATTTCTGCTTTTTTCAGATAATGTCCACTTTTTGTGCTCATTTCTGATTTTTTTCAGCAGAATTGGGCAAACGTGTTGTTTCTGCTTTCTTCTGCTACTTTAAGCTTGTTTTAAATTTTCAGCTACCTTTTTTAGCATTTTTTAGCTAATTTCAGCTGTTTTCAGATAAATTCAAGTTTTTCATTGTAATTTCTGCTACTTTCAGCCTAATTAACTTAATTAACGTTTGTCTGCTAGTTTAAACTTCTTTCTGCTTTTTTCAGCTACTTTTCAACTATTGTTTGCTAATTTCAGCTGTTTTTCAGCAAGTTCTTCTGCAATAAGCATTCACACTGCATTTCTAAGGAAATGCATTTCATCTAGTTTTTATTCTGAAAGCTGATGTCATCTCAGTGGGTTGAATTAAATATGGTAGTTGTCATGGCACTCAGTCCCTGTAAAGAACTAAATAAATACCTGGAGCTTCGTCGTGTGGGGTTTAATTGTAGTCCTCCCACGAGACACAATGATGTCACGTAACAAAACTCATCCTGTAGCCACCCGCTCTGTGGTCGTCCGGCTGCCAGGATCACCAGGTTTGGTGCTTATTTTCTGGCTCCCTGGACGATTTGTCCACAGATTGCAGCTCTTTTACAAAAGGAGCCAACAAAACCTTTAATTCTCTCACCACCCTGGCTTCTTCCTCTACTACTACTACTACTAGCCCACTTTCAGCTCCTTTCATGTTTATTAATATCCTGAAAGAAGCGTTCCCATCATTGTGAGATGAGATACTTTTATGGCTTTATTAATAACTTGACTGGTGTGTTTGAAACATGAGGAATGTTAACTCCTCCGTCCCCCACACCTCACACAACTTTCTTCTGTCCATCATCCCTCAGGGAGTGTGTGTTTTTGTGTTTTGTGCTGAAGGATTTTTTAAACTATTGTAGTGATTCTGCTCAGAGCTGCTTCCTGTTCTCTCTTCACGTTACTCGAGTTAGAGGAGCATCATAACTCCTTCTCAGAGCCTGCTGTTCTGATTGCTGCTGTTCCTCGTTATAAAATATAGAAAGATAAGTCAATTTGAAATCGAAGGAGAACGACTAAAACGATGAATTGTCTCGGGTGAGTAGATTTCTGTCATCCAGACCGTTTATGCTGAGTATTCTGTTTGGTGTGTTGTGATGCACAGAAACTTCTTGTTGTCATCAAAAACCTGCTTTTGTGCTTTGAGGAAACATGTTTTTTTCTGCTTTTCAGTGTAATTTATTACCTTTTGCTGACAAGTATTCCCCTAAACTGTGACTATAATATACTGTGTTAAAGGTCTGCAGGTAAATGTTGTAGATTTGTAGGTTTTACGTCAATATCCAGATAAATATGACTCTATTAAATGTCACCCACTGCCTAAGTGTGAAAGGTGGGCTAGATGTATTTATTTTTGTTATTTTTTTTACCTGCGTCTGTTATCGTTAGCAAAATATCTCATGAACCACTGAATGAAGTTTAATGAAACTCTCAGAAAGTAATAATTAGATGTGCAACAATCTTATGGACTCAATCCAAAATGGTCACCACAACTAATCAAACTTAGCAAACTCCAAGACATATATACTGTAACTCAGGGAGATTTACAGATATTGGGCTAAAATTTGATATGGTAGTAGGTGAGCATCGTCCTCAACACATACTTCAAGTGCAATATATTTCCTGACAGTTTTGCTCCAAACCGTGGCATTAACTGTTGGAGTCCACCATGTCCGTCTGTTGGCAAACTGTCTCCCGAAACATTGGATGAACTGTAATGAAACTCTCAGGAAGTAACAATTGAATATACTTCTACAACTGATTACTTTTTAGAGTCAACTCCATTCAAGATGGCCGCCACAGCTAATTGACATAAGAAAATGGAAAAATGGTTATAAGTCAGCCAGTTTTACAGACACTGAGCTAAAGTTTGTTATGGTAGTAGCAGACATGGATTTACA